AAAAAAAAAAAAAAAAATTGGCTAAATTCCTGCAAGAACAGTGAGGGTTTGTGACATTCTGCCATGACTCACTCCTTTTCTTCACTCCAGCTCAACAGGAGGGAAGCTCCACTCTGAGAGAGAGTGACCAGGAACACTAGGACAGCACTCTCCCCAGCTCCCAGTTAGGGCCAATGGTGTCTCCCTGGGGAAAGGCAGGTTACTAACATTTCTCACCCTCTGGTGTGGCAGGGGCTAAATTCCAAGAGGTCAGGGATATCCTTCCTCCACCCAGCCATAGGCTGTCCCTCAGGTCAACAGGCTGGGAATATTGGAGCCCGGTCACCTTTGCCCCAGCTCCTTCATAGAATGGAGGTTCCCTGTGGAATCTAAAAAGACCAAAGGCTACTTACTGTGCCACCCAGCACACTACTCAACAAGCAGACTTGTCATTCTAAAAGAAGTAAGCCACTGTCAACAATCTCACCTCCAGARCAGTAGCTCAGATATTTTGCCTGGGGAGGGAGAAGTGTGCCCTAAGAGCAGAGAACTTTGAGGCCCTCCCCAACAGATTTGTTTGGAATAGAGTGTGGGAAAGTTTAAGGATAAAGGTRTCTTCCAAACAATGGAGATTTGGTTGGTAAGTAATTAAGAGGAGTTTAGTGATTTGATGAAAGCAACAAGCCCAACCAGAGACCAGCTACATTGCCAGAGATAACCAGTGTGAGTGTGTGGGGTGGGGGAAATCCAAAAAGAACCCTCCTGGGGTGGAAACACAGGAGGAAGAAAAGGAAAGATAAAGAATAAGAAAGAAATATTTTACATTTTCAATTAAAAATGGCAAATTGAATACACATTTAGTTTTGTTTCCTCCCAAAACCTCACTTAAATAACTTCTTTTTTTTTTTTTTTTAAAGCAAAAAGTGAAGGGATACAATAGGAGAGGAGGCTATCTTGGAAGCAGAATGACTTTAAACTTTTCAACAGTAACAAGAAAGCTAGATGGAATGGAACAAAATCTTCAAAATTATTATTTTTTAGTTATATTTAACCCCAAATGCTCTATATATTCAGTCCAACTTTGATCAAGTTTGAGAGTAGAATAAAAATAGTTTCAGTTTTGCAAGTTCTCAAAAAAATGTTTGGTGCACCCATTTCTCAGGAAGTTACTGGAGACTTCCTCCACCCAAACTGAATAAATCAAGAAAGGGAAAAACCTTTGACGCAGGAAATAGGAGATCAACACAGCATAAAGGCAAAGAGAGTCTGTAAGATGTACCAGTTGGACATAGCGTGTGAAGGGGACAGGAAGAGGAGCCCTAAGGAGTCAGCAGTACTGGGTCAGTCTACTGACTTAACCCAGCATAACCCCCATTTGAAAGTTCCATAGTCTTGTGAGCAGCAGAAGCAATCTTTAAACTCTGGCCAGGAGTTCCTGTGGTTTCAAAAATAAAAGCTTTGTTCTGCTCTTATTTTGAAATCAGATGTTCCTAACTGCTTCAACATGGGCCTAAACATACCCAGTGAGAACACAAAGTTTTGTGTCCAGAGAAGTCAATCATTATAAAGCTGGTTTCTGAAAAGGGGACCAGATGACATGCCAATATCCAAAGGAAAGAGTAGGAGATGACCTGGGCCCCAACAGGCTGAGAGCTTGCACTAGGTCATCTTGAAGGCCCTTCTTGGAGTTTAAATCGCAGAGTTCTAAGAGTCATGATCGCCTTTCCCTGCTGGACTTTCTGTGTGACACAGTCAAGACCCTTACCTGGCTCTTTAAATAGGATGGCTTACTGTCCAGTGTGGTAGTGAGTTCCAGTGAACAAGTTGTTTACATTTCTTAATTCTGGAAAGTCACCGGGCCACAGCAAGTTAAAAACCGAAAGTGAAATCAGCTGATAGTGACATCAGTCAGCACAAATGTACCAAAGTTCAGAGAGCTGTTTACTTCGGGACAACTGCGAATGGCAGCAGGACCTCAGCTCAAGGCTGCATCTGTCTGCCATTTCTCTCTGTCTGACCTCGTTTCAGGAACCTGACATTAGAAAGCCAGCAGGAGGGAGAATCCAACCAACCGAACCTGATTCCATCTTTTCATGAGTGTTCCTGGGGGCGCTGCACCTTCTGGTTGTAAGTACCTCCCCACAAGCACCACAGCTGGCCCAGATGCCCACCACCTCCCAAGACAGTACTTCTTCTCAGATAGTTCACTTTCTAGAAAGTGCCTCAGGAAAGTATTGGCTGCTAGGTGTCTGTGGCCTTCCTTCCTCTCTCCCCGGTACATCTACCCCTTTATTCTCTGATCTCCTTCCATCTACTCTCTTCAGCATCACCTGTGTATCACTGGCCACAAAAATGATGCCACTAAGGCTGGCAGAACCAGTTGGGCCTACACAGACCAACTATGAGCAGCCAGGTCTGTACAAGTAACTGTATGTGGCTTTTGGAACACATTGTTCATCAAAACAGGCAGCCAAAACCCACGCAGGTCACTGACCAGCAGCAGCTAAACTGTTGCTCAAAGGTGATTATGAAAACACCATGAGCCCTTCGAATACACACTGAAGATTAAAATTTCCAGAAAGATCTGTGCTCTTGACTTGGAGAATATAATAGGATCTAAGAGATTTTTAGACCCTATGTTATTAGAGTAGATTGCTTCTCATGCCCCAGTGGAAATTCATGGTAGAATTTTAGTTTTCTCGGGGCAGATGGTGAGACCTTTCATTTTTGTAAGTGGGCTATTTTGTTCATAACTCTTATTATACTGCTTCACCTGTAAATTCAAAGCATTCATTGAGTAAGGGAGGAAAGTGCATATTTCCTTCTTACCTCATGATATTAAAGTGCATTTTCAGTATCATCTTCCTATAATATATCCCTTTCAAAATCTTGTTTCTGAGATTTAGTGCGTGTGATTTTCTTCTTTCAATTTTAAACATGTTTTGTTTTATGAACTTTCTTTCCATCTTGGCTCTCACCTTATCTAATTACTGGAAGTTATGATTATTTTATAAATTTTATTTTTTCTGAAAAATAGCTCATAATTCTGGTATTTTATTTTAATGCAAAAAGAAAGGAACAATTGCCAATAATTCAACTACCCAGAAAAACAGCTAATATTAATTAATAATTAATTAGTTAAATAATTCCTTAGTCTGTTTCTCCTGTACATCTTTTTATAGAGGCATTCATACTAGTGGGATTTTATATAGGCTTTTCTTAAAAGTTGTGTAGTGTTTCATCATTCTGATGTTTCCTAATTTACTTCTAATACTGGCAATTCAAGYTGCTTCCCACTTTTTGCCAAAGTGACACTGTAATAAACATTCCTATCATTGATTGCATTTCTGTTTCCTGCCTTAGAATAAATTCATAAAAATGGAGTGACAAAGAGATTTGACTGTTTGGAGGTTTTTAAATGCATGTTGGCCAGATACCTCCCAGAGAAATTTTCCAAATTTTTACACCTGCCATCATGTGTGAGAAAGCCAGTTTTACCACTCTTGGTATCAGCAAGTATTTCTCTTTTATTTTAATGTTTATTTTTTTTTTAGTGGTAGTTGGACACAATACCCTTATTTATTTATTTTTATGTGGTGCTAAGGATTGAACCCAGGAACTCATGTGTGCAAGGCCAGTGTTCTATCACTGAGCCACAACCCCAGCCCCTCAGCAAGTGTTTTTATCTAGTTTTGATAGGGAAACACATAGGTTATGTTACTTGGCATGTCTTTGATGACATTAGGATAGAGATTGTTTTTTCATATTAGTTAACTACTTTTCATTCTTTCTTTTGTGAATTATCTCTTAATATTCCCTTGTTCATTTTTATGGAGTTTAATATTTTCCTTAACTATTCACATGAACATTTTAGGCATTAGGTATATTCATCATTTAATATTTGTTCTACATATTTTCCAAGCTCATTGACTTGTGTGTGTATATGTGTGTGTGTGTGTTTTAGTGTTGTGTGCTTTTGTATATAGAAATCTATATTTTTTTTAAGTAGCTAAATCTGTACAATTTTTATAGCTTTGATTTGCTTTTAAGTTCAGAATGTCCTTTCTCATTCATAAATCAGATTTTTTTTACTTTTTTCTGTTTGTTTTTGAATCTATGTGCAATTTATTTTGGTTTGTGGAATGCAAAGAGGACCTAAAATAGTTTGGGTTTTCTTTTTTTCTCTTTTCCAGCTAGCTTGTCAACTGCTCCAGTTACTTAATAAGAAACCCTTTATAGGCTCAAACCAAATGTCTCCTCTACAGAGCGGTCTTCCCTGACTCTCAGATCTAGAATCAGCACTTTTTCCTTCCACTTTCTCCCCCTGACTTCCCCCTGTTTCTTTCCCAAAGCTTTTCAAACATGTAATTATCTTTCTTAATTATGTTTGGTGTCTGTCTTCCCAAGTAGAGTGCAAGCTAATAGGGAGATATCTGGTTGTTCCCTAGCACCTCTGATTCTCCAGGGTCCTCACTCCAGAATCACCCAAAATGCATCATGAGTAGTGTCCTAAGAAAACTGTAGCCAGAGGGTGGGGAAATTTCTTCAGAATTGCAGGAGAGAGTGCTGGGGCCAGAGAACCCCGCTAGCCTCTAGTGCTATTTTGGGCCCTGTGAATCTCAGCGTCCCATAAACTGGATGGGGGAGATCTGCCCCCMAAAAACCAAAGGAGGATGGGTTCCCCAATTTATAGTCATTTGTTCATTTTTAAGGATTTTTTTCCCTACCTCTAAATATTTTGTAACCTTTATTCTCAGCTGGGTCATCTGCTAGTAAAAGCTAATCAGCAACAAAACAATTAAACAATGGCTTATCATGTCATGCCTGGCCTCATGCCTCTGAGTTTAAATTGCCATCTCATGGTGTATCCCCATTTCTTCTGGGAAAGCTGTTTTTATTTACATATAAGAATTAAGCAAATCTGAACATTGCAGTGTTCCATGACAAGCTGGGTGGTGCAGACGACCACCCACAGAGAACACTGTGAACCCCAGGAGCTGCCACTGGCCAAACACATCCAAGAGACACCCAGTTGTGAAAAACTAGAGCTTAGATGCTTATTTCTGCCAAAGGAAATACGACACGTTTCCCTTTCTTCTTCCCTTTTTATTTTTATTAGAACCCCACCCAAACCAGGAACATGCTAATCTTGAATGTGTTCAGCCAGCAAGTTTTYAGCCAGGGCTGGTGGCCTCCTGTGACGAACACACACCCTTGTCCTGCACCCTGTCAGGTTTGGTGGTTCTGGCTTTCTTCTGCTTGGATTTTCTTTTCTGGACTTCTCACTCCATTCATGCCATGCACTGACCTGCCATCTCTACGTTACTCCTGCTTCCATTCCCTTTTGCCCCCTGGAATCATCTTCTTCATCACACAGCAGACACGTGGTACTTAGCACGTGCTGGGCACTGATCCATTTATGCTGCTGTGAACTCATTTCAGCCTCACAACAGCCCCATGGGGAATGTGACGGCCAATGCATGACAGAGCAGCATGTGATGGAACTTGCCCAAGGCCACATGACTAGTGAGGAACAGGACAGAGACAATCCAGGTGGTGGTGGTCACCACTGCCTGTTGCTACCCAGGCCTCATTCTGGAGTCATCACCTACACATATCCAAGAGGACAGCTTCCTGGAGTTGAGCTCTGTAAAGTAACTCCAGTGCTCTGTCCCCCTAGGTTCTCACCCAGGCTGTGTGGTCCTGGGCTCAACCTCTCTGAGCTTCAGTTTCCTCTCTATAATAAGAATAATTTGAGCAATACTTACTAGGTCATGTTCCAAGTGTTGTGCATGAATTACCTCATTTAATTTCCATAACATCTATAAAATAAATTCTGTAATTATACCCATTTTACAGATCAGAAAACTAGGCACAGAGATGGCATGTAACTAAGGTCACCACAGCTGGTAAATGGAAGAGCTGGGATTTGAACCCAGAAGACAAAACTTCAAAGCATGTGTTGTGAATCATTATTCCACTCCCCTATATCAAGTGAGAACAAGAAGAATAGCAGCTACATTTGGTTGCTCTGAAGATTAAATAGATAATGCTGGTGAAGGGCCAGGCCTTAAATAGGCAGATGCTCAGGAAGAAGCAGGCTCTTATTCTTACAGTGAAGACAACTAGGCAGCCTGATAGGCTCCAATATCCATCAACAGTATGAGCATGGGCTGGTTACTGACCCTCACTAGGCCTACTTTCTCCTCAAGGAAATGGAGATGAAAACAGGCAATCTACCTGCCAACCTTGTTGCAAGAAATTAAGAATTCCTGCAAAGTGCTTGGTGCAGGGTCTGGCACATAATAAATGCTCAAGAAATGTTGAGGTCTGTTTTCAACTATTAACAAGACTTCAACAAAATTGGATTCCTTCTCAGTTCCTTCCCACTGGCTGAAGAGACTCTCAAAGCAAGCTCTCTCCTCTGCTTCCCGTGGCTTCTGAAATTGTTCACAAAATGAAAAGCCAAAAGGGGAATTTATAACTGACAAGACCCTAAGGACTCCCCTGTTGTTTTTTCTTTTGAGCTTCCATGCTTTCAAACAACAAAATACAAATCCCAGGTTGGACTCCGAGGCCTTGGTAGCAACTCCCTGGGTGGTGCCAGGGCAGGGGAAGAGGCTACTGCTCCCACCTCAGCCATCACCATATCTAGTGTCAAATGGTCCCAGAGTACCCAACTCCTGAAGCCGCAGGCTTGGATGAAGTACCTGAGGGAGAGAGGACCTTGTAGAAAATTTACATTTAGCAAGGCACAGTGGCACATGCCTGTAATCCCAGTGGCTTAGGAGGCTGAGGCAGGAGGATCATGAGTTCAAAGCCAACTTGAGCAATTTAGTGAGGCCCTAACACAACTTAGAGAGACTGTGTCTCTAAATTATATATATAAAAGGGTTGGGGATGTGGCTCGGTGGTTAAGCTCAACTGGGTTCAATCCCAGGCACAAAAAAGAAAACTTGCATTTAGAAACTGAGAAAGAAAAAAATAAAAAATAACCCAGAGGCAAAGAATCAGGACAGAGAAGTACATACAGAGGCCCTGGTGCAGCAAAAGAATTGTACTTTACTATGACAATTATGGTGGCAAAATGTTAATAGCCGTTACATAGAAAGGGCTCAGACTGACAAATGAAAACTAAAACTGGAAATAATTTTTTTTCTTTTTTTTTTAGTGGTGCTCTGGATCAAATCCAGGGCCACACATACTCAAAATGATTTTTTAAAGCAAAAGAACTAATAGCACTTCACAAAAGAAGAAATATAGATGATCATTTCTTGAAAATATTGAACTTTACTAATTCTGAAAGAAAATAATAACAATGAATCATCATCTGTCGCTATCTAAGACTAAAGATATGCAATTCTAGGGAGCAAGCATTCTTGGGCACAGTAGTTGCAGTTCTCAGGAGGCTGAGGCAGGAGGATGATTTGAGCCCAAGAATTCAAAGCCAGCCTGGGGCAACACAGTGACACCCTGTCTACGGGGCGGGGATGTGGACTTGGACAGGACAGGACRGAACTGGGAGAAAAATAGAGATAAGCACTCTCTTACACCGCTGATAGAAGGATAAACTGATTCACATACATACTCACTGTAACTTTATTTATAATGTATAAAATAATGTTACAAAATAAAATTTAGAAACACTTTAAGCTCTGAAATGGCTATTTGAAGCCCTTAAAGGTATCACATAGGAAATATTTCTAGTGATATAGGGAAACGTTTATTCTACAATGAAGTTCACAAAGTGGAACGTGAACATATATTTATGTGATCCTAGCGTATAATACAACATTACAGAGCACTAAGAGTGGGTATTTCTATGACCTGGAGTCATAGAAATTGATTTTTCGTCTTTTCTCTACACTTTCATTTATTTTCTAGTTTTCTGCAATTGGCACACACTATTTTCTTATAAACAGGAAAAAGCTCATCTAAAAATGGCCACAGTGACTCAGCAGTCTACCCTTTTGCCCTTTGAAGGAAGCACTGGCTGGTCATTAAAAAACTCATTGTCGGGAGAACACGAGTACCAGGATTGTTATAAAACAAAAAGAACAGGGCAGACTTTGGGGCTGGGAGAACAGTGTCACGGGTTTCCAACCACATATCCAGACACTGTCATGTGAACTGCTTAGGAAAAGCCCGGACTAGACTCCAACCTCTCCGTCCCAGCTTCCTAAAGTCTGTACGTGTTTCCAACAGGAAGCACAATCAGACATCTTGGCACTGTGCTGGGAATGTGCGGAACATGAAGATGGCCCCTCACTCAAGAAGCTCCACTGTGTGGTTACGATGTGGACATAACACATGTAAGTGAAATAGCCCAAAGACACCAAGCACATTTTCATTCATTAATTAAAAAAAAAAGAAATTCTCTGTATGCTGACATCAGTCCAGGAAAGCTCAGGAATCACTGAAGGTTTTAATCAGGTAGAAAGTCAGAAAGTCAGGTGGGATGTTGGGGGTTGGGGAGCGGCTGAGCATGGGCTAAGAATGGACACAGCCTGAGCAGATGCTGGACCATGCAAAGCTAGAGTGGAGGAAAAAGGAGCTGGGCCTCAGTGGAAGACTGAAAGTTCAAGTCCTAAGTGGAGCCAGATGGTGGAGAGCCTCAAGCACTGGACACAGGAGCTGAGCCTGACTGTATATATGAAGAGTTGAGGAGGAGAAGGAAACCACCTCCTCCACAGGCCTGGGCCTGCACTTCTGGGCTCCAGTTTTGTTTTGTTTCACTCTCCATCAAAAACCTCTAAGTGTCAGTTGAAAAAAAAAAAAAATGAGGAAGTTAAAAACAAAGGCTCCAGGCTCTGTCTTCAAGTCAAAAATGTTTCATAGTAATGATTTTTGGAAACCAGTTGAATCAGGATTCAAACAGGAGAAATGGGAGGGAGCATTCAAACACAGTATCCTCTCTCCCATCCTGCTTCGTTCCAGGGAAATGCAGGCAAATTTCTGTAGCATGGTAGTGTAAATCAAGGTCCCCACTCTTGAAATCCATCCCACTTCCCCAAATACCAAATCCCATTAGAAACATAGGCTTTTACTAAAGTTGTCAAATATTCAAAACCATGCAAAATACATTGGGAATTTTCTCAAACCACAGGCTGGACTGGTTAAACTTTTCATCATACCATCGGAGAACAGTTGGATTCAGTCACCTTTTAAAGTGTTGATGAACAAGCAGCAATGCTCCAAGAATCTCCAACTACATTCAAAGGGGGCCTTCTGCCCCTTGAGTTTTCAGAGACTTTAAACAATAAGGTACTGCAGAGGGGCAGCTGCTGAGGCTTGAGCTGAGATGGTCCCTCACACTTTGTTTCCGAGTGTCACTGCCATCTCTGTCTGGAGGGAAGGAAAGCACAAGCAGGAGCAGAGCAGGCTACTCAGTGTTGCCAGGGGCCTGGTGGAGGCAGCACAGATTCAGGTGCTCAATGTCCTAACAAGGGCTTGCTCAGCACCAGGTCTCTGTCAAAGGATCTCTGATGAATCCCTGTTCTCATTTCTGGCCTTCATTTGGGTCCTTTGAATGGAGCTGCCTTCTCTCCAAGCCTGACCCATGCTCTTTGTTCCACTTGGTCCCTTTCTGTTTTTGCAGAACAAATGCGGCATATAGAATCAGACAGCTGAGGGAAAGGAGGGCTGCTCCCCAGGGTCCCCTGAGGAGCTGAGCCCCAGGGTCTCTGGGTTCCTCCCCAGGTCACCAATGGCTGCCACACACTTCACAGCTGGATCCCACCTGGCACTGCTGGCCAAGGCTCACAGGGCACCACTTGGTACTCTGGCTCCAGTGCGTGCATCTCACAAAGTTTGCAGCTAGACGTCCCTCATAACCCCTGACGTAAATGGCTGGTTTATGCACATGGAAAATGCACACAGATGAAGCCCCAGTGTGCAGACTACTGTTTTACAGGCCAATTTGAAAAACACTCTTCTGAGTAAAAAAAGTAGTAAATTTTTAAAAATAATGAGTAATGAAATGAGCATTTACATACATCTAGGACCACAATTAGCAAGTTTTCTATAGGTCAGTTTGGCAAGATGCCCTGGGATCGCTATGATAAGCTACCTTGACCCTGTGACGGCTCTTCTAGATATCTAACCCAGGGAAAAGTCAGATTCCAAGCAAGATTCCTATAAGCTTCTTCACTATCACAAAGGTGAAAAATGGAAAYGACTTGTCAATTGCTAGTGTAAAGGATAAATCTACGACATGGACTATTCAGTGAAAAGAGTGTCATGTGCAACACAATGGTTATTGTAAAATACATCAGCATATGGGAAATATTAGTGAAATATTAACAGTGGTTCTATGTATATGGTGGGATAAAAGGGCTTTTTAAAAAGTATTTTCTAAATTTCCTAGAACTACTATATATTACTGTTGTTTTCAGGAAATTAAAAAAAAAAACTATAGATGTTTTAAAAGTAATGAGTGCTGGGATGGGATTTCATCACCAGGTGACATCAGGTATGTCCCAATAATGAGTTCTCAAAGCAGGGCAGATGACATTACAGAGAGAGTCTGGCAGCGATCCTCAGCCCAGGCTCATATCCTAGGAAGCTGCAGAGCTTTGAAGATACACCAGTGCCCACCTCATATCCAGAAGTCTAGATTCGATTGAGGTGTGGCTTTTATAGCTCTCCAGGTGGGTATCTCTGTAGCTGTGGTGAGAGCCATGGCTCCACGGGTCTTCCWTACCTTCCTTCACCTTCAGGACCCTGCTGACAGTGAGCCTTGTCCTCCACCTTGTCAATACCCACCCTCTATAAGGATGTGAGAAATTCCCCCAAGAATGCTTCCTATGGCTTCTGGCATTTAGGCTGAGCAAATCCTTTAACCCAAAAGCACTTCAGTGGGGACTCTTCAGGCCTTCACAGCTGCTTAGGAGGGACTCTTCCTCCTGACCTCAAATCCAAGGGGCAGCTGATGTCTTGTGAGTGGGTCCTGGCTGTAGGTTACCTGGGACTTGCTGTCCTGGTAGGGTGGGTTAGAATAAGTTTGCCAGGGGGAGGTCAGGAGCTTGAGAAGATGCAGGGTGTGAGCAGAGAGGGAGAGCTGGACACTCACTGGTGTGACTTTCCCTCAGGTCCCCTGAAAAGGGCAGGAGAGATGGCCATCCCCAGGCCACTGTGGGGCAACCATCTATCCTTCGTGGGCATCATGATCCTGACAGCTGTGGTCATCTCCCTGCTGTTCTACGCTCTCCTCTGGAAGGCTGGCAACCTCGCTGACATGCCCGACCTGAGAATTGGYTTCTACAACTTCTGCCTGTGGAACGAGGACACTGGCTCTCTCCAGTGTCACCACTTCCCTGAGCTAGAGGCCTGGGGTGTGTCTCAGATTGGCCTGGCGCTGGCCAGGCTTGGCRTATACGGTGCCCTGGTCCTCACACTCTTTGTCCCCCTGCCTCTCCTCCTCGCCTGGTGCAATGGTGACAAGGGAGAGTGGCAGCTGGCAGTGGGCTTCTTGGCAATGTCCTCTGTGCTGCTAGCTGGAGGCTTGGGCCTCTTCCTCTCCTATGTGTGGAAGTGGGTCAGCCTTTCTGTCCTGGGGCCTGGCTTCCTGGCTCTGGGCCTGGCCCAGGTTTTACTCATCCTGTTACTTATGGCCACGGTTATGTTCCCTCCAAGGGCCAAGAAGGACAAGTACCAGCTGTTAGACCCATCTAAAGGCTTAAGTGATTGTGAGGGTTAGTTCTAACTACAGAGAAGGTGCCAGAGAACCCAGGGGTTGGCACATCTTCTCAGCCATTTTGTTTCATAGCTAATGCCGTTCTCAAACCCCAGCAGATAGAACTCTGCAAAAGGTGGGTCCCCAGTGTCAAGGAGACCAAGGTAGTAAGGGTGGCCAGGCCAGCTGCGGCTTCTTAGTATAGGATTGCCTGTACTTCAGGACTTCTGCGGACACCCTAAAAGCACATGGCTCACTGCCACATGATTTCCTGCTTTATTTAACCCATCTGGGCAATTCTTCCTCTAGCTTCAGGAGATAAAGATTCCTGTTATGGAGTCAGATTTGCAGGCTGATTTATAAGAGAGCCAAACTGGAATCAGTGAAGGTTTATGGGAACAAGTAGGACCACTATGAAAGGGCACCTAGTAGCAAGCCTTAGTTCCTCCCTCAGTGAGGAGTGGCTTCCTGCAATAAGCCCCTCACCAGGACTCCACCCCCATGGCCCAGGAATGGCTGAGGGACCCAACAGACAGAACACATATGGCATAAAGAAAACTAGGTTTGGAAGGTCCCTCCACAAAGGACGAAGCAGGAATCAGCTGGCAAGCATTCCTATCATTGTGACCCTGGAGGAAGGGGCAGGATGCTCCTGATCCTTGGGCAGGAGAGGGTGGACTGGACCAAATGGATCCACACACAGGTGCTACATCCCCTCACTTCTCCACCCAGAACTGGAAAGGACAGAAGCACAACAACTTGTGCACTGGAGAACTCTGTATTTTTTGGCACCTGTATGTTGRGATACCTGTATGGCAACAGTTTACTCCTTCTGTGCCTTTCCAAAGCCACACTGAATACAGAGGCAGAAACATGGACTCTGGTGTCATCTTTTGTCCTTAGTATATGGTCTCCCAACCCTCTYGCACTTTAAACCTGCCCAGGAACCAAGGTAGAGGCTTCCAGGTGGAAGAGAGGCAGCAGCTCAAGGCAGCTTGTCTGGCTTACCAGTCTCTGGTTGGAAAGTCTCACCCTCCCAGGTGGAGCAGGAACTATGGGCAGCTCGTGTCTTCAAAGCTGGAAGGCAAGGGCCTCTGATGGGGAGGGATCATGCTACAAAAGCCTGGGAATCACAGTTATTCAGTAGCCATACTTTTCCTTGAAAATGATTGTCTCTTGGGTTCTTAAAAGTTGGACCCCATGACCTCATTTTCTCTAGAATAAGACAAGACAATTGGGATTCTATCCCCCTGTGCCAGGTGGGATGCAGTGCGAGGAGAAACTAATGGGAATTTGGTTTGGGTCCTCACTGTCACACTGAAAACAGCAGCCCCCAGGAGGCCCAGGGCACCTGGAGCTTCTGATCTAGGATGAATCTGCCAGGCCCAGGGAGGTGCAGAGCTGGGCACACAGGCAGCCACATCTGCACCCTAGGGGTGGGGGTGAGGGGCAACAGCGCCTCTTCCTGCTGCTCTCCGCAGAGTCCAGCGAGCTGTTTATCCTCAGCTGAAAAATATCTCCCTGACATATTTCAACACATCTTCCTCCTCCGCTTCCTTGGGGCTTCTGCATGTAGAGCTGGAAGTCCCCTGCCCCTGGGAAGGGCGGAGGCCCCAGGCAGCCTTGTCTTTCCCACTGTCCTCTTCCTCGCTGCTGCTCCCAGGAGAACTTGTGTGAGGAGACACAGAGCAGATGGGGGAGAGCTCCAGCTTATCAGCGTCCACCAGAGGTGACTGCTCCTGGGGCTTTTCCTGTTTACGGCACTGTGAAGCAGAAGAAGTGGCAGGCTCAACGTCCATCAGTGAGGCAGGACATATCCAGAAGCAACTGCAAAGCCAGTGTGCGACCAGGCCAGGCCCCACTCCCACCCCACTCCTCCTCAAACTCCTCAGGTTCTTAAACAACCAGAACCCACTTGGGAGACAAGCCAGCAGGGGTGTGGGGAACAGCTGAGCAGAAAGAAGAAACCAATAGGAAAATGTGGCGGGAATGAAGGGTGAAAGCATGGAAGGGGCCCAGGCTACGTCACAGAACCAGTGAAACCCCCGAGTCCCAGCTTCTTCAGGGTAACAGTATCTGAATTAGTAACCCCCAAATGTTACTGTGAGGATTAATGAGAGAGGACACTGTGTAAAAAGGCACATGATAAATAAAAGGTGCTGTCCAACTGTAAGGTGGTCCAATGATTACTTCAGGAAGACAGTGACTTCCCCATGTTCTGCTAAGGAGAGGTGCAAAGGTCCAGAAGGATCTTGGCCAACTGAGACCCTTTCTGAGAACACAGGCGAACATTTTGTGTCCTGCCACATACCAGCACAGAGTCACAGTGCATGCTRTTCCTCACACACACCCAGCCTAGGTGTCTCACCCCACATCGGGGAGGCTGGGGCAACATGGCTGAGGGACAAGGGAAGGAACAGACAGAAGAAACCAGCTGACAGGAGCAGAATCCTGACAGTGACCAAGGTTGTGGCTAGTTTCTGTCCATGGAGTCTCCGGTCACAAGAGTAAGAAGGGACACAGCTGACTGTACCTCAATCAGGATCCCCAGAGCCACATCCACCATTTCTGCTTCATTCATGCAGTACACAGTCTTCATGGCAGGAGTTCTGCAACACAGACACGAGTCATGAATGGGGAAGAGGGTCTCCAGGCTCACAGGGGCAAGGAAAGGACAGCAAGAGGGCTGCATCCCAGGCCTCCCCACCAGGGATGAGCACAACAGTGCCTCCGAGCTGAGGAACTTCCTTGAGGCAAGAATATGACTTCCTCCTCCCAGTAGCCCAGCGCTGACCTCAGGCCCTCCCACCCTCCACCAACTCCCGATAAGGAGCTGGGACTGGGGAGGAGGCCGGCTCCTGAGAATCACACCTTGAAACACACACAGTGGATGTGAGCAGATGTGGGCCTTCAGGCCAAGACTTGACTGAAACAGACCTGAATGCATGAACACATTCAATCAAACACCCTGCTACAATCTCAAAGGGAGGCTGGCCAGAAAAGGAAGAGCTAGGAAATAGAGTGCTGAGGGCCTGGGCCTAAGAGTGGCAGGGATGCCCCAACCTGCTTGACGCTGGCACCCTGAAGAACTCCCTTCCCCACATTACCGTCATTCAACTAACCCATGCATGGTTCCTGACTTCTTGCTGTACATCTGCCTGTCCCCAGAGCTCTCTTCACAGGAAGAGCAGGCACCATTCAGGAAGCCCGGTGACTGGTCCACTGKACTTGTCCGTGTGATGTCATAATTTTTGGTGTAAATGTAGAGAATAGTATTCTGACAACTGGCATTTTGGAGAGCTTGCTAGTATTCAGAAGCCACCTGTGTGTGTGCTGACRGTCCAGGCTCCAGCAGTGGAAACCTCAGTGGCACAGGGCCAGAGGTGGGCACCTGACTGCAAGCTCACTTTCCTTTCTAAGAGTTCCAAAGTGTGGGAAGAAAAACCCACCCATCTCACTCTCGGCCAATTACGGCAGGCCCAAGGCCACTGAGAGGCCCTCCTCCCTCCTGAGCTTCCCCAGGAGCATCCTGACCAGAGGTTGGCTTACCCTGCTGCTACTGCTGGCCCTGTCACCATTCTCCTCCGCTTGGRGGTCTTCACTGGCACCACCCTCCTTTCAGACACCTGGGCTGTCATCCAGCAGGGAAGGACCCTGGTTTTGTTCTGAGATTTTAAGGTTTCCATCGCTGTAGTTTCCCCCAATAAGGAGTCAGGATCTGAGTGACTTGCTTGACTCAGGACAGGACAGCAAATCTTATTCCTGTCACATCAGGAATTAGAGGCCTCATTTTTCCAAAAGGGCACCAATCTTTAATGCCTACAAAGAAGAACAAAATCTGGTAAGTTCTAAGCTAAAACACTTTCAGTCAGCCTGGGGCAGGCCAGAGGTGACCCAGAGGGTCACCAGAGCCCAGAAGATGGGGCATTCTCAGCATGTCCAGCAGGTGTGGCAATCAAGACGATGGGTTGGGGAGACAAGCCCAGTGACTTGCCCCAGTGCCCCACAAGCAGACACCCCTCACCCCAATCACCTCCCCTGTAGCCTCTGCATTAATGGAACCAGCACTCCTAGAGGAAGGAAGGAAAGGAGGCAAAGCCAGGTGATTTCTCCTCCTCCACACTGCAGGCGCTACTGTCCTCAGAGCGTCCAGTAATCCAACTCCCAAAACATCTCCCATGATCTCTCTCAAATTTGCCCCAGGTCCCAGCTTCTCACTTCCTCTACAGTGAGASGGCCTTAACAACCACCAGGCAATTCTGATTCACAGAAAGGTTTCATTGATCACCCTCCCTGCCTTAATCTGAAGCTTCTTCTGATTGGCCAAATTTTAACCTGCTAGAGGGGTCAGGAAGTTTTAACTGCTTGGCTCCCCAGATTTGCAGAAATCAAATCTCCCTGGCCCCCACCAAGCCTCTGATATAACTTGGCTTCCCTTTCCCTACCCCGAGTTGATTCCACCTGGGCCCCTCCATCCTTAACATCAATCCCCACCTAAAAAAACTATGACTCWCAGACCAGGACATAATTTTCCACTTAGGAATCAACCTAAGTGTTCCTAAGAACATCTAAGGGGCCGAAGTTTGCCTGAAAGGGGTAGTCAGCGAAGAATAAAACCCCTCTCTGAATCATAACTTGAAAATTTATTGCTCATCCAAAATGGCTGTTTACAACTTAAGAAAAAACCAGCAGGCCAGCATCTTAATCTACAGCCCAGGGGACAGACCTTGACCAATGTACTTTAATTTCTGTTTAAATTATTGGACGTTGATAGTCATTCCTCCCGTCTACTGAGCACCCAGTGCTGTTCAATAGAAATTTATTAGATCGGGAGATGCATCATTCATTCCACTTTACAAACAAGGAACTGAAACCTAGTTAACTTGCACAGGTCTCAAAAAGTTCAGCCATCCAGGATCTCAGCCTGGCCCTGTAGATTGCCAATCCTGTGCCCGCCCTACTTCAGGTTGGCAACGTCCCCTGGAAGCACGTTTGGTACGGCTCAGTGCTCACTGGTGTCAGACCTGGTAGACAGACTTCAGAAAATCTCAGCCAAAGCSCCTCACTCCTTGGGTGAAAACGAGACCCCGCAGGAACGGGATCTGACAGCATTTCTCATCCGTAACATGCAGCTCGCTCTTGGGGACCTTCCCCTGACTTTGCCCCTACTGTACTGTGCCGACCCACAGGAAACAAGCAGGAACTCCTTGCTCCACGCGGACCGCGGCTGCCCAGACWCGAGAGCTGGCGCGCCTCCTTCCGTTCGCAGACGGCGCCTGCACTGGGGGAGCGCGCCGCAGCCCCTGGCCTTGCTGTGCTGCCAGGTCTTGGGCCTCCTTCTAGGGGTCGGGAGCGAGTCCCGGAGGCGGATTCGGGACGGTTGTGCCAGCCCAGCTCTGCCCGCCCCTTCCGGCTACCCGGTCTTCTGGCGCGCGCGCGGAGGCCGGCGGCGCCCCCTGCTGAAGCAGGAGAGGCTCTGTCCGGCTTTTGGAAAGTCAAAGTGTTGATTCCCAGGCCCCAGGATCCGAAATTAGTCGGAGGGAAGGGGGTTCTGTATTCTACAGCCCCGCCCGGGATCTCACGGGAACCAAGTTTAGTGCTCCCCACGGGCGACGCATCCCGGAGAAGGCGCAAGACGGTGCAGGGAGAGAAATCAAAGGCTCTATTCACGTAACATCAAGTAACATAGGAGTTACTAATATTTAATATTCAGATTGGCAGCCCAGGGCTTCCCTATGCAGAGACACGGGCGGCTCCACTTACCTGCCCAAGTGTGCTAGTTGCTTTCAGCTATGCTGAACGCTATAATTAACAAATGAAGGTAGCCTTGGTTCAAATCACACTTGTGACTTCAGAGAGCCTAAAAGAGGACTGAGGTCAGAGACCAACTGAAAAGACCAAGGCAAGCAGTCACAGGGGAGGTCTTCCTCTGCATTTGGGGGTAAAATATGGTCTGCCCCCAAATGAGAAATAAGACAGTTGTTGAACTGTGATTTCCAACTGGTCTGCTAATAACAGCACAGTTACTATTTAGAAACGAGCTGCACAAAGCTTTGAGCCCCCTTTTCTGGACCAGGAAGTGCTCTTTTTCCCTAGGGTGCCTTCAGTTTCTCCAGAGAACCTCCCAGGCTCTTCTGGAATGCTAATCAATACTAGGGAAGTGGGCTGGGTGGAAATTTTAAATAAATCTAGGCCTAAGAAAATAAACCAGTGGTCTCAATTCCCCTACCAGTCAGCCACTGTAGGGATCAACTTAGCTATGGTTGAACCAGGCCAGCCTCCAGGCTCTGCAGGACTGGCCACTGGGATACAGGCTTCTCTCTGGCCACCACTAAGGCATCAGTCACTGACCTCAAAGGTCCTGGCTTTCATAGGCTGTGAGTCATCACAAATCTACAGGGCTGGAGTAGAATCGCATCATTTCCTTTTGTGAATAAAGGAACAGAAAATACTTGCTCAGTAGAACTACCCCTGTACATTTCGCTCCTTAAAACCTCTCCACAGCCAGCTGGAAAATAGGCCTGTGTGTCTGCATAGTCTTAGTGTAGGGAGAGGCCCTGGATGGGCAACGAACCCAGCTATGAGATCTATAAGCACTGGCAACACCTGAAGCACATGGGGTTTGTTGGGTTTTTTTATTTTTAAATTGACAGATAAAATTGTATTTTTGTGTGTGAGCTAACATGTAATGTTAATTAACTGGATTTAGTCAGTCCACATTGTATACACACTGTACTCCCAAACATCACACTGAGCTTCCTGGGTATTTGAATATCACGTGGGGGCTAGGTTTTGGCCTGAGGCTTGGGGTAGAGGCACAGGCAGATACCTGAGGAGAGGGCAGAAGGAAACCAGATGGGGAAATACACCTGTAGGGCCCTCAGTGCAGGTGAGGGGTTCATGACTTGAGGCCTGGCCTGCCTCCATGATTTTCTTTTTCTACCCTCATGGAAGATAACAGTAGGGAACCTTGGGTCCTTGGGTGGAAATACGCAGGTGTTTTGAAGGAGAGATTACTGTGCGTTTCCAATAAGCTTTGAGGATGAGCACTCTTCCTGGAGGTGGGCTGGGACGGGAGCACTAGGGGTTTGAAGTGTTGTGTTGCTGTATTCCTTAAACCATTTCAGCAAGCTGTGGGGACCATATTGAGAGGAGAGAAAGGGTCATAAGGCAGGAACTTTGAGATGAGAAGAAAAACTGGACCATGAACTCTCAGATGAAACTCAAGACCATTTAGACTGTCCCCCAGAATCCTGGGGTGAGATAGATTACTCAGATGTTTCAGTGCCAATGTGAAGACATGGCAGTGGAGAAGTCTTCACTTTCTTCATTTTAGAGATGGAAATAGGAGAAACTGGGTAACTACTTACCATGAAGTCTCTGGTGTTTTCCTGTAACCAAGCCACATGCATATCTCTCTCTACCTGTCCCTCAGTCCCAGCAGAAGACAGCCATTCCAGCCCTACTCCAGAACTGGGCGGGAGCCCAAAGAAGCTATAAAATGACTATATTGAGTTGCTGGTGGCAGCAATTCCCCATACATAGGTGACAAGATCACCCTGAAAAGCATGGGAGCCCTCCAGGACCAGGCCCACCATTCTATGTTGGCTCCTGCACTTGCCCAGCCTCAGCTGCCACTGTGGGAGAATCTTCCTCTTCAAGGTGCCCAGCTGCGGAGTAGCAGGCAGGCCTCAGGCGGGGGCATGGTCACCATTAGTCCAGGCTCAGCTCAGACTTAAGTGGTCAGGCCTGAAACCCAGGGGTCCTTCTAGCCATATGGTCAGGGAGCTACCCTCTCACCACTTGCCAGCAGAGAGTAAAAGTGGCTGGCACTGTTCAACTTCAAGGGCATCAAGTTGGAAGAATGAGAGAAGCCACCAAATGAAGTGCTAGGAACAGCAGCTTCCAGATAAAACTGGGCCACCAGCAGCAGAAGCCTGTGTACCTGCTCTTGTCCAGACGGGCTTCTGTAACAAAAGCCACCACCTCTCAGGGAAGACAGAACACTCTGGCCTGAACTTGAGCCCAGGCAAAACAGAAGAGCATGCTGTGGGCCCATGTCCCACTCCCATAAAGCCCAGGTGAACTGATGGCCAGCGAGGAAAGTAAGAAAGACCTGGTGTGGGGAAACAAAGGCAGGGAGCCCACGGCTGACTATCATCAGGGCAAAGTGACACACGCATCCTAAAAAGAGACACCAGGTGACTGCAAGAGCATTCTCTTTTTTTWAAAAAAAAAAAAGAAGAAAAATAAGCAGAGATATATATAAAATACTGTCAATCTCTCCTGGGCCAACACAGCCCCCATTACTGTTTCTCCTTCCTGAGCTTTCCTCCCACAGTCGGAGGATCCTTCTCAGCCCATGACTTTGTTCTGTGGGAAGAACATGCCACCCGCTCCTTAAGGCTCCTGTTCTAGTCACTGCAGCWGGACAGTCCCAAGCCCCCTGGACAGTCTTTGCCTGAAGATCTGCTGCACTGGCAGGGACCTGGAAGGGGTGTGTCCTGTTCTCCCCCAACACTAGGACAATACTGTTTCTGTGGTGTCACTTGAGGCAGGTCCTTCAGAGCTTATGGGCCAGGAGGGTGGTCAGCTTGATCTTGCCATCCATGGAGGCAGTGAGGCAGGTCCCACAGTCCATGGCAGTGCTCCAGTCCACAGTGACCACAGGGGCCCGGTGGCCACCCAGGCTCAAGCAGCTCTCCAGAACCTTCTCATCACCACCCAGCTATAAGAGAACAGGAGAGAGAATGAACCATCAGCAGACATCACTCATAAACACATCCATTTTATCCACTTTTGGAGGCCAAACTGCCTCGAGTCTGGGGCATCCACCCAAACCCAAGGATGTGGGGAGAGCCTCATAGCCACCTGTCCAGAAAGTGAACCGGGGAATGCCTCAGTTTCCTGACTACAGTTGGTCCACTTTATGTGGAAAACAAGTCCCTGCCAAGTTCCTTAAAAATGCCACTTTCTCTGTCTCCTTGACCATGCTGTGGGCCAGTACCTCTGCACCTGCCTGGTGTTGCCTCACAGCATCGTCTGTCACTCGCTGACATCTGCTTGTGCCTCTGCTCATGTGTTTAAGGTTCGTTTCCCATTGCAGGGACACAAGCTGTAGGAGGGCAGGGTCTAGTTCTTTCCTGCAGTGTGGCCAGCCTACAGCACCCAGAATGGCCCTGGCACAGGAAGGCCTTGGATTAACGTGTAAACGAGGTCCTCTATCCCACCAGCACCATTATCCAGCAATTAGGCAGATGGGTGAAGGGTCAGCTACTAACAGAACAGGAAACGGAAGTGAGTGAAAGTACTCTACACGGCTAAACAGAAAAGGAGGTGTGAAGTGTTTGGCCTTCATGGAGAAACATTTGTAAAAGTGTCAATTAAATTGCTTATAGACTGTAAACTGGGACAGTTTTACAGTAGATTCTTTAAGCAATTGGAAGCCAACATCAGTATATTAAAAATTTCACAGGAAAATCTTTCAACTAATTAATTATAGAGTGAATGTAACTGCAAATCACATAAGTTGATCTGGGCAAATGAAAAGACTGTGTGATCAAAAATAAAATACACACACACACACACACACCACATAAGTTGATCTGGGCAAATGAAAAGACTGTGTGATCAAAAATAAAATACACACACACACACACACACACACACACACACACACACACAGATCTCCACTCAAAGCAAAGTCCAGTCCACTGAAAACCAACCAGAGCAAATCTTTGGAGAACGAAATTAGGCTTGGAAACTGGAAGCTTTTTACCAGTATTTCCACTGAGAAATGCACAATTATGAGAAATTGTGTAGCTAATTTGTAGGGACAGCAAGAAACAGCAGAACAACCATCCTCTGTAGAAAAGAGGAGCCTTGCTGACTGTGCACATGTCAGGTCAGTCTAGAAGCCTCCTGATTTCCCACCCTAGGACCTCCTCTGTTCCACATGTAGCATCCCTTACCTTGCCATGAACTCCTCGCTCACTTCTGCTATGTGGGGCCCAAGGCCCGCCTTCCTCTTTACCCAACTGCTCCTCCTCCTTCCAGGGCCTCCAACTTACAGCCTGCCACTTCCCGAGTCTTCCCTGAGGACTCAGTCCCCACCCAGCTTCTTCCTCTTGGAACTGTTCAACACCACATCATCTTCCTTCACCCATGGTGTTTCTTTCTAATTTGAGTGTGACCCAAGAGAACAGAGATCATATTTTATATCTCTCTGGTACACTCCATAGTCCCGAGACCATGGCCTGCCACACAGCTGCTGTCCTATCTGTGGCAACAAGAACACTGAGAATATTTTACCTCATATAACTTCTTAGGCCTACAGATCAAATGTCATTGTCAGGGGGTTAAAGAATTAACACTGAGGCTAAGAAYTGAATTCACTAGGTACCTGACGAGGCCAAACACAAATCCTCATCAGTAGGTCTAATGAATAATACTAGTAAAAAGGAAGGTACTTGTAATTTCATACACTTATACAAAGAAAACACATGAAACAGAACAGCTCTGACTTGAGAATTAAAACAAAACAAATGTGTAAGCTGAAGAATACATACGACATGAAAAACTTGCATTGTCAACAACTTACATTGTTGTTATATATATGGTGTGTGTGTGTTTGTGTGTGTGTGTGTGTGTGTATACCCCTCAAATTTGTCTCAAATATGGACTGTGAAGTACTTCACTCATGGCCCGCCCATGGCCTGCCTATTTAGAGTAACTACAGTAAACCACTCAGCTTGTTTTCTGTGGGGGGGCATGCTTCCCTCTCCCACACTCCCCAGCTCTTCTTACTACTCCTCAGTGTTTTCCATAATAGGTTATTATTCCCAAGGAATGGGGTAAGGAGAAGGTCAGATGCTTGTCAAGGGCAGGACAACAGGTGCCTTATATTCTGTCCCAATCCCACCTTCTTTACCAGCACTAAGGTCCAGGCCCAGCACCAGTCTAGCCTGCAGCTAGAAGACTTCAGGTGCTGCCTTGTGTCCAGGACTTCTTCACTGCCATACAGGGTGGGACAGAGGGCCATGCTCAGCTTGGCCAGGTCCAGACAGCCAAGAAGCAGCTCCCTTGCCCACCAGGACTCCACCACCCAGTTACCTTGTAGATGACTCCCCCTGTGGCAGAGCATGTCAACATATAATTGCCCTCTGAGTCAAAAGCGAAGAGTCGGCCTCTGGGCACTTGAACCTGCTTGTAGCCGCTGTAACCAGACAGTACAAAGGGGCCGGTGGCATCCGAGGGGAGGCTGTACTCAGACACTTTCAAGCCACTCTTGTGGATGTTCCATTGGATGAACTGCAGATAAAATGCACAACCAGAGTGCTCTTCAGTGGGGTGCCGGTCAGGCCCTATCCTGGATGGAAGCCCAGGGCCTGCCCAGAGCAAAGGCTGTTGGGGCAAACTGCCTCCTTCCACCAACAGTTCTGACAGCTTTAGCAAGCCCTTTCAAGTTACAGAGGCAGAACAGGGGTGGGGGTCCACAGGCCTCCCCAAAGTCCCACCTCTTACCAACCCACATTGTTTTAAAGGATGAAAATCTAGAAAAACCAGCAACCTCATTTCAAAGTCTAACTCTTCTCTTTGCTTTGGCCTGAGCCCAGGAGAGGAAAAGGGACAGCAAGTGGCTTTGCATGGATTTCTGGTCTCTCAAGCAGGTCAATGACTACTGTCATTATTATTATTAGAATTAGAACCTGACTAGATTTTTCTGACTTAGGACTAAAAGCCCAGAGGACAAATTCCAAATCTATTTTCAGTTTCTCAGTGCAACAATTGGACACTGCATGGTGTAGTTACAAAGCTAGCTTTGTTTATTGTGGTGCATATAATTCCCCAACCCACTTTATGAACAGGCTACTTGACTGTGACCACTTCTTTTTGGGAATCCTACCCAGATACATAGGAAGTTAAGCTTTATCTTAAAAATCCCTTCCTAGAGTTTTCAAATGAAGAACTGAAGCTGGGGCACAGTAGTGCACATCTCTACACCTATTTACTTGGGAGGTTGAAGTGGGAAGATCACTTGAGCCCAGAAGTTTGAGGTCAGCCTGGGCAACACAGCAAGACCCTGTCTCAAAAATAAAAAGAACTGACCTTATAGTTACTGTTTTCAATGACAGCACAGGTCATTAGCATGAAATCCCAAAGACACAGGAAGGCAGAGCACAGTCAAGTCTCTCTCCCACCCCGGCTCTCTTTCTACCATTGTTACTGTTCCCACTTCCAATCATGCCCTTCCACAAGGGGAATCTACATGGGGCACTTCCTTATAGTTTTTTGGGAGGAGGGGTGGCTTCTTTTTAACTTCTTTCGACTCTGCTCAGGCCTGCTTGCCTCTGAGAAGCTGTCCCTAGGCCCTCAGCAAGCTCCATGCATCCACGGCTGGTCATAAGGCCACCAATTACCAAGCTCACCAAAACACATCTTGGCTCCAAATATAGATCTGTCGGGGTGAAATGAGTCACTTTGCCATGAGGAGGATGGCTGTGGTACTCCCTTTTCCACCGCACTCATTAAACCCCACAAAGAGCCCGGGAGATAGATTACTATTTATCCCTATTTTACAGATGACAAAACTGAGGCAAAAAGAGGTCATGGCAATAGCAGAAAGAGTTCTGGATCCACTGCTAGCCTGTCATGGTGTCCCAGCACTTGCCGATCCTGAGGGCACCTACCTTGCCATCCTCGCCGATGCTGTACACAGCATTCTCATCACAGCTGAACTCCACGGAGCAGACCTCCCCGCAGTGGGCCTGCCAGCTCATGGCACACTCGTGCTGCTGCATGTCTGAGGCCATCAGATGCCATTAAGACTCCGCACCTTGGAAGGCACCCTCCCACAGCAGGGGATCCTCTTGCCTTTACTCAGGGGGCACAGCTGTTCTGGGGGCCATGGGGCTCCCAAACCCCACAGGGTAACCCCTCCACGTGAAGCCGGGCTACCTCTGAGCTGCAGAARTAGCTTCTTTCGCTAGGTTAAAGTGAGGTTCAGGAATCCTAGCGGGAGCAGAATGGGGAGAGGAGGAGCCGGACACAGGCATCCTTCCTATTGAGGCCTCTATAATGTCCCCCAGGGCACCCAGAGATCCACCTCAGATAAGATTGCCTTGTCCCATCCCAGACCCTGGGGATGTCTCCCTAGGAATGGAGGGGAATGAGCCACCTACAGCTGAACAGGAAAGTGTTACTCTTGTGTCCTGTATCCTAAAGAGGCAATAATAAGTCAGATCAAACAGCTCAAAACCAAACTACCATTGAGCTGCAMCCCCCATGCCTACTGATATTAACCAAGTGGACTGTGCTGAGTGTTTCAAAAACTCTGACCAAGGTTAAGCTTTCTTGATTTGAAATCAGGGTTTTGCAACAGCCTCTATTGCAGCTAGGTCTCACAAAGTGGGGACCAGGATTGCCATGAGCACACTTGCATACCAAACAGCCGGATGACACCGTCAGCTGCTCCTGTGACCAGCAGGTTCCCATTGTGATTGAAGGCTGTACAGTTGACAGCAATGGGTTCTGGGTCCAGAGAGAACTGAAGCTGTTAAAGCCAAACAAAATCACAATTAGTAGACTATTCCAACTCAGATACAAGCATAGGAACCCAATGGATCCTCTGCCAGCTCCTCCCTTCAAATACCTTTTTCTGGAAAAATTCCTAAGCATTTTCCCAAGTGCTGGGCTGTGACCTCCTATGCTGTACTGTATTGAGAGGCAAAGTCCACTGAACCCATAAAGACCTGTTTTCCATACATGCTGGCTCACTTATAAAATGAGTCATCTATATCTTAGTAATATACACATCATTCAAGTACATTCTAGCTAGGTCTAATTGCAAGATCACAATGCCTGCAGGGAAGAACACCTCATTGATCGACTTTCATCACTGGCAGCTCTAAGCAACAGAGGACCCACCATGCAAAGGTCATGCAGCTTCTCCATTCCATGAAACATCTCCCCATGGCAACACTTAGAAATACAGGAGCTAACAAAACTACCTTATAGAACTCAGATTATATATAGAACTAGTGATTAATGAAGATTATCATTCCAAACAACATGGAACCCAGGAGCCCTAAATTACCCTCCTGAGACTAAAAATGCAAGACAGAATGCTATATGGTGTTWTTTATACACACATGCACAGTGCTGAGCTGGCAAATAAAGAAATCCTCTGATGCCAATAATGAGGGGAAAGCCAGACTCCTAAGGATGAGGGAAGTCTGAAACTGACTTTCACTATGGGGCATTAATCAAATATACATGACCCTAGTTCTCATTCTGATTGCCAAGAAGCACTCAGAAGCCTCCAATGTCAAGACCTGTTCAAGGTCAGGTAGGAAGAAATCTCTGTACACAGCTGGGACTTCAAAGAGCTATATTCTCAGTGCAAGAATAAACTAGAAAAAAACTTACTTTGCAAAACAGGATAAGGAAACTTACCCTCTCTGCAAATCATAACCACAAACTTGCCCTGATAGGGATTTATAATCCAAATCCATAAATCCCTAAATAGTCCAAGAAAACCCTAGTAGAGAATTTGTTTTTAAATTGTCAGAAGTTGGTAGTGCCCCCAGGAAGTGACTGCACCTCCCCACAAGTCTCAAAATATTCTCAAGGATAAAGGTCCCAGAAACATAAGCCCACAACGGAACATCACAAGACAGAGGAAAATAAGGCAAAAGGGCAAACACCCATAGAAAYAGCAGAGAAGAATGAGATCCACAAAGACTTCAGATATGGGAATTACCAGAGGTACAATGAATACACTAGGATGTTCAACAAAATAAAAGAAGGAATTAAAACAAAGGGCAAAAATAGGAGACTCTAAGCCTGACAAAGCAGGTTTTAAAAATGAAGTTATGTTTCTAAAAATGAGAAACAGAGAAACTGAAATTAACATCCTAGTAGATTGGTTAATTAAAAGATTAGGCACCATGGACTAGAGAATTAGCAAACTGACAAAGCTGAGAAACTCTCATCATGAATGCAGCAAAGTAAAGCCAAAGAGAAGTGTTAATGCATACCTGACTGGAGTTCCAGAAGGGAAGAGATAAGCAGAGATCTACCTCTAAGACTGAAAAAACAATGACTAAAAATTTTCCAGAGTTAATAAAACACAAATCCTTGGATTCAGAAACCTAAAAAAATCCTAAGCAGGAGCTTAAGGAAAGAAGAAGAAGAAGAAAAAAAAAACTTCAAATTTAAAAATCCACACTCAGATACCAGGTAAGATCTTAAAGGCAGCCCATGAGAGAAGACAGCCCACAAAGGAAAGCCCGTTCCACTGACAATAAGTTCGGTTTGGGCAAAGGAAGTGAGAAGATAAGACTAAGCCACAGAGTTAGGAGAATCAATTTTCAACTTACAATATAAAGTTTGAGAAAAAATGATTATGATTCCGTTCATATAAAGTTAGAAAACATGCAACACAAAACTATATTGTTTATGAATGTATATTCGTGTAATAGACTAATTTTTTAAATATAAGGAAATAGCAATCCAAAATTCAAGACAGKTTCTCCCTGGAAGAGGAGGAGGAGGTGGAGACTGGAAAAAGGCAAAGAGTAATACTAATGTTCTACTTTTGAATTAGGCGCTCATTTTACTGCATTTCTTCTCATTAGATCATCTATCTATGATTCAATATTCTTTTATATGTAGTCTATATTTAATTTAAAAATCTGAAAATCACAAGTGAATATAAGATTAAAAATCGTGCTAACAGGAGGATGGTAAGTTCACGGTTAGCCTCAACAACTTAGGAAGACCCTGTCTCAAAATAAAAAATAAAAGGACTGGGAGTCTAGTTGTGTGTTACAAACCTCACCTAACACRCGTGATCCCTGAGTTCAGTCCCTAGCACTACAAAAAAATAAAAAGAGAGAGAGAGAACACATTACTTCTAAGTACTGAAACCATTAATTTTAATAAGAAACACCAYGCTTTCTAAGCAAGTGAGTTCAACATCGTTTCTCTCTTTAGGGCCCCAGTGACAGTGCAGATATCTATTAACAGACAGCCAGAGACCTGTCCACCACAGGTCTGTTAACAGAGAGCCAGAGACCTGTGGAGGACAGGTCTCTGGCTCCAGGAAGGCAGGCCAGTGCCCAGGAGCTGGCTGTCAGCTGTCACTTCTTAGGGGCATGCACCTGTCCTCACTGCTGCCAGCTGCTGTTGTAATTCTCACACAGTTCTCCCAGGAAGTCAGATGAAATAGAAGTTCTCTCCTAAAATATAAGACACAAGGCCCCTTAGTAGGTTCTGGGTGACTTCTGTGTCTGTGGCTCAATTCTGATGACTTTAGTCACTAACAATCCATCCAAACAGAGTAACTTAATTTTCAAAACTTAAAGCTTAGAAATTTTTTCACAAATCAAAAATCTGAGAAGACCAAAGCAAAGAGAGGGGAAGAGCCTCACCAGCACCACAGGGGAACAACAGGCAGGGTGCCTCCACGTGGTRTGCGCACCCATGGGGGACTGGCCCACAGCAAGTCCGTACCTGCTGCTTCATGCTCTTCGTGTCCCACAGTAGCAGCTTGCCAGGAACCTGGTTCATGCCCTTGCTGCCAATGTCCGGTGCCGAGGAGTCCACCTGGGAAGTGAGACTCGGAGCTGCAGCYGAACAGACGAAAGAGGCCCCATTGGGGCTGCACGCGAGAGACAGGATTCTGAAATACATGTGGGYGAGGGTCAGACAATCGCCTGCCCAAGGGGAGGACAAGCCTCAGCTCTGGATCCTGTTCCAGGAGATGGGACACTGGGCTCAGGAAAGACCTGGCCYTACAGAGAACCTGCAGCGAGCTGAGACCTTGACAAGTGAGGAGGAAGGGGCCTGGCTCACCTGGGCATATCATCATTAATGTTGATTTCACAGAGATTCTTCTTGGCTTCTGTGTCATAGAGACGCACTGTTCCTACACCACTGCCCAACAAGAGCTGGAATGAGAAGGGGTGGGCGTTGAAGGACAGTATGTGAGTCAGGGAAGACCACCAGAGGGGCCCATTCCTGTGAGGTGCTGGACTAGGCAGGCTGCAGGGCGAGCCCCTTGTCCTCTTATCCAGGCAGTCAGGGGAAATCTGCCTACACTGGACCACGCTTCAAAATTAAAAATTAAGATGACAAAGCCAACCTCAGACAGAAGCAAAACCACAAAAGTTATCTGCTATGGTTTGAATCTGGCCTGAAAGTGTCCTTCAAGGCTCACGTGTTGGGAGTTTGGTCTGGTTGGGGCAACTGAGGGTGGAGGCACTCTTAAGAGGTGGGGCCTAGGGTAAGGTGATGAGGTCATTAGGGCACTGCTCTCAGAAGGGATTAACTCACAAAATGATCCCTGAACCAGCACTGGCTTTCTGCCTTGCCATGTATTTTCTTCCTCTGGCACACACTCCTACCATGATGCCATCTGCCATTTTGTGAGGCAACTAACCCTGACTAGAGGAAATGCAGGCACCTTTACAAAGTATCCAGCCTTGGGGGAAGGGGGGTTGCTATAGCACCAAAAAAACCAGAATAATGCAGCATCTGTGGTATGGGAAAGATGTGTCTCCTAAGATTCACCTGGAAAAGTTCTGTCTGGTTACATATGACCTCCTGATCTTCTTTTACTCTGGTTGTAATCCCAGCTGTTCCAATCCCTTCTTCTCACTCCCAGCCTACATGCCACCTTTCTCTATACTGGTCCTAGTCAGTCATGGGGCCTGGGTGACTTTCCATTTGCCTTTTCAGGGGCAGCTCTGATTCGGGATCTGTAGCAGCCTCCAGAAAAATGTAACAGGCTATCCTTGCCTCCAGGAACTTGTGACTTATTTGGTGAAAATCTCGAAAGCCCCAGAAACAGCCAAAGTCTGAGGCTATCCCAAGGAATACTAGCTAGATTGTGACCTCAACATTCACTTGGCAAACATTTTAATGGTAAACATTTAAATGGTATTTTAAATGGTAAATATTTTCCTAAAAACACCAATAGAAAGCAAATTATAATTAAAGAGACTTGGGGGCTAAAATGAAGAGTAATTTGTTCCTAGGAGYTCTGAGACCCTAGGCCCATGAGAATAATTCCTTCAGATGTCAAAAATTACACAAACTCAGCATGGGCCTCTGACCCCTGCACAGTATGATCCCTGAGAAATGGAATGAAAGAAAAAACAATAAATCAATTTGCCCCTTAACTACAAACCCCATCTCATATATATTAATGTACAGAAAGAAAAAGCCACTATTCCTGGGGCCCTTCTGTGGATAACACAGAACAGAACACCATCCCCTCACCAGCATAAACTGCTGCCCTGGGGGCCTAGTCAGGAGGGTTCTCAGCAGCAGGAGGGAGCACACTGAGAGTGGGGTTAAAAACAAGGACAGGTGGAAGAGGACAGAAAGCTGGGTCATCTCTTGGGACAGACTGGCATACACAGGAGGAAGCCTTCCACCACCTCCAGGTCCCCTCATTTCAATTCTTAACCCAGTAATTTCTCTGCCATAGCCAACAGAAGCCTGTCAGGCCAGTTGTGGATGTGAGGTCTCTGCTTGCCCAGGGATGGAGAGAAGGGAAGGATCTGGCTTGGCTACCCCAACTCAGTCTTGTCAAGAGCCCAGGGTAATCCTTCAACTTGGACTGCAGAGCAGACGCTGTTAGCCAAGTGTCACTCACCAGCCTGTCCCGTTTGGTGGCCCATTCTAGAGAGAGCAGCGGTGACTTGGAAATGGAAGATGCTTTGGTCTGCATGATGGGGTTGAAGGACCACACTTTGATGACCCCGTCTACATCTAAGCTGGCAACCCTCCTCCCTGAGCAATCCACTCTGAGCAAGAGAGAAAGGGCGATGTTAGCAWCCTAGCCTCATTCTCTTCAAGGGCCCCAGAATATGTCAGGGCTGTCAAAACAAGAAGCCCCTCTTTACTCTGAAACTTACATTCCTTGAGAGTATTTCTTTTCTTGAAAAGTCATGTTTTTTTTAAACCATATTTAAATAAAAATGTATAAATGGTAAATATTTCCCTAAAAACACCAATATAAAGCAAATTATAATTGAAGAGACTTGGGGGCTAAAATGAAGAGTAATTTGTTCCTAAAACTCAGAGAAACATTAWTGGGAAGGGTGGATAGACTGACTATTACAATGGCAGCTCTAAGAAGATTCCCAGAAGGCAGTGGTCCAGCCCTTCTCTGAGCCTGCAGGAGAACATGGTCCTTCAGGGGCCACCTGCCATCCCACCATCCACCCGACCCTCCTGTCGCCACACCTTCACATGTACTGCCTGAAAATCCAGGCTTCACAGAGTTTCCTGGTGGGCCCAGTCCCCATTACCTGCAGTGCATGATGGAAGAGTGATGCTCCCCATACTCCTCCTGCCCCAGCACGATGAAGGGTTGCTCCGGGCGGCCTCCTCCCTCAGGGCCTGCTGTAGACACCCGTGTCAGTGGCTCCACTGGTTCCATGTGGAGATCTGGGCAGGGCTCAGCCTCAGGGCCACTGGCTTCCAGTTTCTTCTCTGCACACTGTGGTTAGCAAGTGGGGATTCATCAAATGGGAAGGGGTCTCCCACACTCAGGAGCACAATAGGGGACGCAGTGGTCACACAGTCCCGAGGAAAGTTCTGAGCTGTGAAGGTAGAGCTCAGCTTGCCCCAGKAAAATGGGGCTCCCATCCCCTAGACAGCCCCTTTCTCGGGACTTTACTCACCTCTGCTGAGGGAGAGGGGCCCTGAGCCCTTCTCTCCCTGTCACAGCTGACAGGACTCAGGACACAGGTCAGGCCAAGGATAATGAACATTGTTTCATGAGAGCCCACTGTGTGYTAGGCACTATGATGTGTGGTTTTCAGATTTCTATCATTTAACCTCCCTAAAACCATGTTGTTCACTCCAYTGACAGCTCTGGAAACTGACCAAGGTCATAACTGGCAAAGGGTAGAAGTAGATCCAGGCCCACTGGCCCGGCCCTCACAGTGCATCCCACACCAACTATCCTCTTCTTTTGGGAAGTGGATACTGGGCGACTGAGAAAATGAGGCAACTATAAGGCATGAAGATAGAGAGATCCAAAGACAGTGGGGCTCTGTAGCAGCCTGGTATCTGCCTCCTCATGGTACCAAGTGTCAGCCACTATGATTACTACGTGTTCACTAGACACACCCCAGGCGTAAGGGCACTGGCCACTCCCTGGGGGTCCTAATATCCTCCACGTACCCCACAGGGTGACAGGAAGAATTCAATAGCCAAAGAATGTCAAAAAGATCTCAGACCTTATGGAGCTGTGCCTGTAGCCTTCATCCTCAAGAATAGAACAATTTGAGATCTCAGCCTTCAAGGTCTATTAGCTACCAAACTAAAACCTCTACTGTGCTGCTCACTGGCAAAAAAAAAAAAAAAAAAAAAAAAAAAAGCCTCTAAAATGGTCAAGAAAGTAAATAGGAGATGCATGCTCATGGACCAGCAAATCCCTTTGACTTTTGCTTTAAGTCTGGAGTATTTGGTAGAAACAGAAGCAGCCAGGAAGAGTAGATCCTGACCTACATCCCCAGAGGTGGGAGCCCCCAAGCCTAGGGGGCTCGGCATGGAAAGGGTCAGAGTCACAGCATCTCACCACATGACTCTCAGCACAACAATCTGGCAGCTGGGCCTCAGGTAGAGCAGGGGAAACAGATCCTGCCAGCAAGCAAGTCAGGGTAACTCAGGGTTAAATGAAGGGGACCAAACCTCAGGGATGGTGATATACAGACCTGCACAGTTAATCTAAGGGAAGGACTAGTAGGCCAGGGTGCCCAGCCAACCACATGCAGAACTCATCTTAAGGAGCACTTCCAGAGCTTGCATTTTCTGGTCCTTTGAAATACTATAAGGGGAAAGCCAGGCAAAATACAAACCCAGACAACCAAAGTGCAAGCAATTAGAACAGCTGGGCAGGTCCATGCCTCAGACAGCAGAACTCAGAAGRGAGGTAAGGAACCCCCTCCACAGCCACCGTGTGAGCATCAGGATGCCCCATACCTGGGAGGAGGTGGTAGAGAARAGCTCCTTCCTCTCCTTGCCATGGTCCTGCAGGCGCCGCTGCCGCTGCTGTACCCAGCTGGACTCTCCAGAGGCTGGCCCGCCCAGGAGGCTCTTTCCATCCTTGGCCCCTGGCACCAGGTCCTTTCCCTTGGAGGCCTAGAGGATGAGAAGCTAGCTTTGAAAGGTCTCTTTTTGGCAGCCCAGGCAGTGACAACCAGGAGGGAAGCAAGAATAGGGGACAGCCTCTCTGCCCACCAGCTCTGGGGAAAGGCCCTCCCTGGCAAGCTGGGACAGGTAGTTAGAGTGGCACTGGCTAGGCCAGGGGGGCCTGCAGCCTGGGACTCCTCCTTTCCCTCTTCACTCCCTAAGGGTGGGACCCACAGGTGCSGAGCCCCATTACCCAATCCAGTAATTCCTCCCCATATTTACTGATGCTGAGGGCAGAGTGTTGACTGAGGAATTCTAAAACATGTCTCCAAAAGCTCTATCATGTTGACAGAATCCAAAAGATGGTTATGGGAACTCCATAGCTAGCTGCATATAGTACTAAGAAGGAAGATCTGTTTCCTGAGTTGATGGCAGTTTCCAGAAGAGTTGGTTGGCAAGTAAGGACATTGCAAAAGTTAGGGAAAATTATAAAGCACGTTTGACAGACCTGTCAACCTGACCAAGAGATCTTTTAAGCTTGATTTTTGAGAAAAGGAAAAAGAACCCATAAAATGAGCTAACKAGATTCTGTGAATCTAGTATGATGTAATCAAAGAAAAGTATGAGAGCAAAAGGAATCACAGAGTGGAGGTTCAGTGGGAAACTAAGCCTCATGAACTAAACTAGGTAACTTGCTAAAACTTAGTCTCAGGGACTTAGATGTTCACTGTACAAAAAGGCAGCCATCCTCAACTCTAATGGATCTCGGAATCACCTGGGAAGCCTGTGGTGTGCTGACCTTTTTTGCAGACTTTTATGCAAACCTCGCTGAAATAAACAATCTTTTTTCGTTTGTTGAGCATCTTTATAGGTTTATTGGTCCATTATTTTAAGTTAATTGAGGTAAAGAAACTGTTTTAAGTTAATAAGCTAATAGTTTATCTAGCAATACAAATTCTTTRTTTACCTCAAAACATAAAATACTAATCCTATGGTAAACAACAGGTTTTTTAATACACAGATACATGAAAAAGAAAAGCATGCAAAAATTTCATGCCAACATCAAATATTAAACAAGATTTTGTTTCCCATTTTATAATCTCTGAGTTCCATGACAAAGAAAAAAAGGTGTCATGCTTTTCAACATTTGGTAGCTTAATGAACTAGACTTGCAGTCTGTAAATAAAGCACTTTGTTATCAATACACATTCTCTCAAGGACTTTTTATTTTCACACTTTTGCTTTGGCTTAATGGCAGCAGGGAGAGAAGAAGATATTTACACAAAGGACTTTATCAATACCTCAGAAGGATTTTACATTTTCTCTTACAATTTTAAACAAAAAGAATGATTTCTAAAATTAAGAAAACACAGTCTATAATTTAGAAATGTCCTAGTAAAATTTTAATCTCTTCTTTAACAGTTAAAATACAAGTTAGAAAGTTTACTGGCACCTGATTTCATGGGAGAATATCAGACATAGGTCACCTCAATGCATTTCCAACTCACAGAGATGATGGGAACAGACATATACAAGTGAAACAAACCAGGGATCACGGGGACTGGGGCCCCCTGGGGTGTCCAGATGGACAGTTTTGATTCTTAAAGAGATGCTGGCTTGTTCCCCAATGAAGGTCCAGCTGACAGAGCCACTACTTTATCATATGGATTCACATTCTAGTCTGCAATCTATTTCCCCCCTCCCCATGAAATGAATAATTTCTAAGGAAAACTCAGTTTACCAGTAGTCATGAAAAACTTCAACAGATCATCTTCCATAAGGAAAAAAATGAAAAAGTTGTAAAACTCATCAAAAACTATTATACCAAAAAAGTACCAGGCCCAACTGGTTTCTCAGGTGAATTCTATCAAACCCACGGGAACCATATAGTCCCAATACTACAAAAATCATTTCAGTGTACAGAGAAAAAAAAACCCTCAAATTCAAATTCTTTTTTATGAASTATAATATTTTTCTGTACCTGATAAAGATAGCAGATAAGAAATCATAGATATCAATATGAGTACTAATGCAAAACTTCTATATAAAACATTACCGAATAGTCTAGGATGTGTATGTGTGTGTATATGTGTGTTACCCCTTGTTTCCTTCATCCTTAAGTCAGCACCATACTTAAAGGCAAACATGTGAAGGAGTCCTGCTAGGGAACAAGGCAAGATGACCCATCTCCACTTCTGTTAAACTCTTTACTRGTAGTATTAACACAATTGTGTAAGAGAAGCAACAAAAAGACTGAAGAGTTGGAAAAGTAGAAAAACTTTCTCTTTCTTGAAGATGGCAGGCCAGTATACCTGAAAAAATTATTGAAAATAAATGCTAAAACTAACTTAAAATAACAAGATAGCAAAATGTAAAAACAAAATGCAGAATCAGTAGCCTTCGTATACACAAATGATAACCAGGAGGAGAATATAATGTAACAGAATCCTAGTTAATATAGAAACAACAAATATAAAATATCTAAGGATAAACTTGACAAAAGTATATGAAAGCTACATAAAGAAAATTGTAAAACATCCCTAAAAAACATGAAAGTAGTTTGGAATAAAGGAAAGCCATCCCTTCTTGCACAGGATATCTCAAATCATCAAATTGCCAGATCCCAATTTATATAAGTACAATATCTGGTGAATTATTTTATCAACAATTTCATCCAATAGAAAGTAAAGGAAGAGATATAGAGATCTACCACACTGGCTTTGTTTTTTATTTACATGAAAAGCTGGATGGCTATGCTCATATGACAATTCTAGAACAGCTAGAAAAACATCAAAAACAAAGAGCACTGAGAGGAAGCTAGACCTTTCAGGTACTTTAACATACAGCAAAGCCTCTAGAATTAAAACAGCATGGTAGTGGAACATGAATGGATAGAAAAATCAACAGAGCAGGAAGTCCAGACACATCCAATTACACATGGTATTTTACTGTACAGTGGATTTTCAAATTACTGGAGCAAAGAAAATTTTGAATCAGGGGCTGGGGTTGTGGCTCAGTCGTAGAGCACTTGCCTAGCATGTGTGAGGCACTGGGTTCRAGTCTCAGCACCGCATATAAATATATAAAATAAAGGTCCATTGACAACTAAAAAAGTATTTAAAAAAAAGAAATTTTTGAATCAATGGTATTGGAACAATTAGCAAGTCATTTTTTTTAAAAAAAGGAGAAATTAGACCCATTATTCATATTATACACAAGAATAAACTCCAAACAAATCAGATATATAGTTTATAAAAATGCAACAGTACCATTACTAAAGGAAACCATGGGTGTATTCCTCTGGTTATAGGGAAAAGCTAATTATGACTTAAAATCCAAGTGCAGTAAAAATAGGAAACTGATAAATTTCACTGAATTAAAAAAATAAACTTTTGGTGTACCAAAAATATCTCAAGCAAAGTCAAAAGATAAAGGACATATTGAGAGACAATATTTGCAACAAATGTCACAAATAAAAGCCTAATATCCTCCTTCACAAAWGAAATTTTTCAAACTTGAGGAAAATACCAAGATTTATATAGAGAAATGGGAAAAGACATGAATGAAATTTATAAGAAATACACAATGGACTTTAAACATATGAAAAGATGCTCTACTTCACTCAGAAGAGAACTACAAATAAACTACACTGAAATACCATTTCTTACCCATCATATTAGCAAAAGTTCCAGAGCTGCATAAGAGATTCTGTTGGAGAGGCTGTGTGTGGGGAACCAGGAATTCTCATACACTCCTGATGGAAATGTGAAATGGTAAAATAGATGGCTGGGTGGTGGTGGGGGTTGAGAGTGTCTTTATTCTTGCAACTGTCCTGTTACCTTGAAAGTATATAATAATAAAAAGCTTCAAAAGTAAGAAAGAAGAAAGAAAAGGTAAAGTAGCATGCAATGTAATTACCTTTAAACAAATCCATAACACTTACTGAAAACTTCTGCATGGATAAAGAGCTGGAGAGAGGAAAAGATGTTGGTAGAGCTATGTACTCACTAGATGATACCAGCACACCAAGAGGCTCAGCCCTACTGTGAGGCTGCACTAGCCCTACTGTGAGCTACTCCCAGTGACCTTGCCTTACATGTTTTTATCCATAGCACCCAGTACCCTGCCTGGAGGACTGGGCCCTCATTACTGTCTGACTACACATGAGTAGAGACAGTGAYGGACAAGTGAAGTTATAGTAGCAATATGTACTACACTGACAATCCTGGCATCTCCCATACTTATTCTATTATAGGCTGAGTATCCCTTATTCAAAATTCTTGGGACCAGCAATGTTTCAGATTTTGGAATATTTGCACATACATAGCAAGATATCACAGGGATAGGATCTAAGTCTAAACATGAAATTGTTTATACTTCATATATACCTTATACACATAGGCTGAAGATAATTTTGTATATTTTTAATAATTTTGCACATGAAACAAAAGYTTCACAATGTAGAATTTGCCACTTGGAATCCTGTAGGTGCTCAAAAAGTTTCAGACTTTGGAGCATTTCAGATTTTTGGATTAGAGATGTTCAACTTATATAAGTACAATATCTGGTGAATTATTTTATCAACAATTTCATCCAATAGAAAGTAAAGGAAGAGATATAGAGATCTACCACACTGGTTTTGTTTTTTATTTACATGAAAAGCTGGATGGCTATGCTCATATGACAAAAAAAAATCTTAAGAAAAAGATTTAGGATGTATAAAGAAAAGGGAAGTGTGGCACAAACACATTCTTCAACTTTTAGGAACTTAGAACATCCAAAAAAAGGAAGAAATTTTAAAGGGAATTAGAGCATGAGTGAGGATGACAGATTCTGAAGTATAAATTTTATGCCATATTATACCCCAAGAATAAAGAAAGGAAACATTTAAAGGAATGTGTGGCAAGTTCAAACCATGAAGAGTAATGATAACCTACCAGAAAGTTCTAGAAAAGCTAAAGCAAAAACTGAGCAGAAGCCCTGACACTGACAAACTAATCAGTGATAAG